TTTCGATAGCTGGTTAATCATTTAAAAAATGGTAAATAATAGTACAAAGGTAATGCCATGCAATTTGTTCTTTTCGACAATTAAAGTTGAAACAACCGTTTCTATTGATTTACATTCTATTTAGCTTGTCCAACCAATCACAAAATTATTAAATATTTCCAGTAGTTAAACACTCGGATCGGAATCATTTTAAAATTCCAAACGTCATTTAAAAAATCCTGCTAGTCTGATTCCTCTTCTCATGTCATTAAACTCATCGAGAAGAAATCGGGGAAAAATCCATGGCCTAGAACACAGGCGGCGACCCCCAGCCGAGGTGCCCTCATGCTGGGTTTGCAAGATGAAGGGGCATGTAAATTGACTGCGACATGTCAACGTTTCTTTGCTTTCTTTCTTATATATTTTTGAAATCGATTTTCTGTAGATTTACCAGAAATTATTTGCGATAAAACACGATGCTACTTCGTGCTTTAAGTGCACTTCAACCGATGATCCTGGGGACAGGCAGGAAGCAGGGAGCAGGAGAACCCGGGGACAATCAATCACATCACCACATCATGCCAGACTGGCGACCGAGCTGAGCGCCTTTTTGCCGTAAGTTGTAATGCTGCCTAATCCGGCGTAATAAACATTGTCAAACGCGTTCTTTCGCTCCATGCGGGAGGAAATCATTATTGACATCATAGAACACACACATATCCGGATCCGCAACATCATCGTCGACAATTGAAATGCAATTGAAAGGAATCGCGGGCAAATATTTGCACTTGGATTCAGGGATTGACAATGATGGCAGGCCTTCGGAACATGAGTAGATGCAAATGAGGAGCTATGGATATCTCCTGCAGGAGGCTAAACTTTCAATAATACAACTCTGAGATGCTGGCATATTTCTGTAAGTATCGGTTTAACGATATAAGGTACGTTAAAAATCCTTTAAAAGGTTGTCAAGAATAATCCTTGTTGTTATACTGTTTATATCTGTCGTTTATATCAACTATTTATCTTAGTGTATTATATATGTATATCTCATAAAATTATATATTTTCCAAAATCCTTCCTGAAATGTAAGCATACATTTGTTCCAGGAACTTTAAGTTACCTTAAATCATTATTCCTCATCTGATTTCTCAAATTTACAGCATACCTTATTCATAGCATACTTTTTGGCATGGGGCTAAGTGCAAATAAAAGAATGGAAAAACTTGGCCAGCACGTGGCTGCCTGCTGATGACCCCGCTCCCCTGTGGATTGCCTCTCTCGAATTGATTATTAAACATATTTTAATTGGCTACAGATAAATATTTGCACACCTTTAACCCTTTTTAATATGCCTAAGTGCTGCTCCTGCTTCTGACCGCACTTTCGTCCTTGGCAGTCCGCCCACTCCCTTCCTTTTGGGGGAACCCCCCGCATTGCTGGAAATCAGCACAGACAGCCAAATGGAGCATGCAGAGGATAATTCGATTGTGTTCAATTTAATTTTGACAAGCTTCAATGAAGCCTAGAACTTCCCCCACCGCCGCCGCCGCCGCCGTCTTTGTTTCCCTGAATTTCCCTGCATTTCCCAACAGTTGATTTGATTTTGTTTTATGTTTTCCCGCTGGCAGAGGGCCTAAGGAGAAGAGAAGAAGCATATAAAGCACACCCTCGCCCACGCCCACACCCCTGGTCACCCGCCCCTTTGCGATTCATTGCGACACAAAACCAAGAGTGGGGTAATGGGTGTGTGTGTGCGTGTGCGAGGGATGCTGCGGCATAGACTGGGAAGGGGCTTAGGACTAGGGGTTCTCTTTAATGCCAAGTTTCTGCGGTCACTTTTGAGGCTCACAAAGCTGACCAAAATAGTTGGAAAAGTTACTGCGGGAAACTGTGTTCACTGGCAATGCCTAAAAAATAGATGAGAAGGGAAAACTATGATCCCAAATTGTTATGGTTAGGTATTATCTTTTTTAGTCTCAACTCCATAGAATAATTATTATAATTATTTCAATTGAGGCTCTAAAGAATATATTACAATATGTTATTCAGTAATATTAATTGTTTAAAATTAGTTACTTTAATTACATTTAAAAGCAATTGAATATACTGGACTTCATTTTGATAATAAGCCGGAGATAAGAAAAAGTCATCCAACTAAAAAAAAAAACAATGAAACAAGACTTTTAAATGGTTAAAAGTAACATCGTCTCGAGGTACATATGTGTTTTTTTTTAATATAATATAATTTTTCTGTTATTCCTCTGGTACCTATGTAATAAAGTGGATATAATTTGTATACCTTTGCAGGGTATTATGTAGCTTGAAACGCACTGAAGAAGTCGTTTCCGACCCTATAAATCATATGTATTCTTGATCAGCATCAACAGCTGAATCGAATTTTTTGAAAATTTTATTAGGGGTTACATTGTTAAAATTTGAAAAAAAAAGTTAAATTAAAAAAATTATAAAACTCAATATGCAGATTATTTAACCTTGTAAAAACTACAATATTACAGAAAAGCTATCCGAATTGAAATTAATGCATTTTTGGCTTAGTTATGATCGATTGCATATTCGAATCCATGATCCTATGGGTAACTGTAAGGGTATAGACACTTGACCTCCCAAAGTAAGCTTCCATTCTTGATATTGAGCATTTTCTCAATTGATTCTTTACTGTTAATCAAAAATATTTTATTTAGATTTTCTTGGAGGGTATTATAATAATAATTTTAGCCATAATTTGTATTAACTTTATAACTTATTTACCTTTTATCCGAGTTACGTATTATAGATCGCCCAACTGGATTTATTTTGAATAACAATTTGGAAGACATTCTTTTGTAAAGTCTCATTTCAAAAGTCTTGAATTTCTTGTTTATGAAATATATATTGTCCATTGCTGTCCCATATTCCAAAAATATGTATATGTTTATATAACTTGTTGCACAAACAAGGAAGACGTCTCCTGATACATATCCTGCCAGAAAGCCCTATTACATCAGAGAAATCTGTTTGGCCAACGAAGCCAAAACATTTGCCCAAAACAAAAAAAAATATATAAAAATACGAACAAAGGAAGCCAAATTAAAATAAACCAAGGGAAGTCCCGAGCCCAATCCCTCCTACTAAGACGGGAATGGCGGGTCCGTGTCCATTTTTGCTGGCTCAGCAACTACATAGGTGCACCTGTGCATCGAGGAATCCTTTGCTTAGAGCAAACACACAATTACACACAGATACATAGATACAGAGATAGAGGGACAGGCAGGCCGGCGTGTATTATATACGAGCCAAAACAAATCGAGCGACTTATCTCAGCTAAAACATCTCGCATTGACTTATGCACTGGAAAATGGAACAGTGGACGAGGCCAAACAGGCTGTCTACCACTCCTCCACTCCTCTCCACTCCACTCCACATCCTGCTCCAGTTCCAGTTGCGCTTCCAGCTTCAACTTCCCCAGTGATGGCCAGCCAAACGAGACTGGAAGCTTGGCTATGTAGGAATTTCCGTGGTAGTTGCTCATAAATATTCACTCGCACACAAGCTCACACACACACGCAGTGGGCAAGTGGGCGGAGCCGACAACAGCATGAGGTGTATCTGTGTATCCGTCCGGGCATCTATGTGTTCGCTTGTGGTTGTGCCATTTTTTATGCGCTCCATGGCAATTCAAAAACGCCTACTTCAAGAGCTCTGCCAAACTGAGCCGAACTGAACAACAACAACAGCGACGACGACAGTAATTCCACCACCGAAATGAGACTTCAGATGGCAAGGGGAAAGCGGGCAAGGGAATCGCAGCATAACTTGGTGCTCCTGCACAGTGTCCAACGCTTTACTTAATCAATATCAATACCAGCATCACCAACCAATTTGATCTAGATCTTTCTTAATGAGGCAACATATTTCTGAGACTTAAGGAGCTAACGAACAAGACTATTGGTTCAATCCAATAAGTTTAAGTTTTAGTTTAAGTTTATTTTAAACTTCAAACCTTCTCCTTAAATTTCTTCTTCTTCTATAGTTTAATTTATTATTTGCATATATATTTTTGTGAAGATAGTTTTAAAGTAATCCTAAAAGGTTGTAAATAAATATTTAAACATGTCCCAGATCCTTAACTTATATGCCAACTGTTTCACTTTGAGTAATTTGTGTATCAATCCAGATATTAAATTTAAGTTAAGGTTTTAAGGTGTTAAGAAGGTTTGAGCTTCTAACCAAATATAATGGATAATGTAATACTCTAACCCAACAATTCATTCCACTGTACAGTGCAGCGGTGTTCGAAGCTTTCTCGGCTTGATGTTTGTTGTTCTACGCGAGAGAGAGAGAGCTGTTGCCGGCAAGCTAACAGCTAACAACAACAACATCAGCACGAACGGGTGCGGGGGCTCTCTCTCGACAAGTGCCTTCCAACTGTAAAGTTCCAGCAGGAGCCCGAGCCCCCAGAGAAAAAAGCCATCAGCGAATGGCGTTCGAGCTTGAGCTCATTGTTGTTGTGTTGGTCGGTTTTTTCGGCACGTCGCTGTGGCTGTGTGGGTGAGTGTCGAGGGCGATGCGCGCGTCGCAGCCATTCTGCCAGGAGCTTCGGCCACCCTCAGGCGGCCATCCAGTCCATCCAGTCGGTAAGTGCGCCAGCAGCAGACCCGGATCCGGAGTTCAGTCGCCAGTCGCCACCGTTAACTCTTTGAAATTGGACGCAGCGAGCGGCGAATACGCGTTCGCGACCACAGTGAGCGAGAAGGGAAGAGATAGAGCGAGAGCGAGCCTATTGATAATGCCCTAGAGAAAGTGCGGAAAGTGATCTGAAAAAAGTTAATTACAATTGCAATTAAGTTGATAACAGCAAAACTATCTGAATCTCCCGCAAACGAATTGAAATTCGAATAATCTAAACAGAAACTTGGGCTTGCAAAGCTTCCTATTAAAAAATAATATACAAATATAATAAATATAATTATAATATTCAAACACTTAAATCATAAAATACAAACCAAGCAAAGAAATAATAAAATCAATTAGAGGATTATTAAGTAATATAATAATCCTATAACTCACCTCAAGTTCCATTTGAAACTTAATTAATAAATTAAACTAAAGCTTGGTCTCTGAAAGACAGGTAAAAGAAACTCAGTGTCCGCGGCCCCTGATCCTCGATCTCCCATCAACGCCGAATACCCACACACCTTGCATGTGAGACCCGCCACCGACCCTTTCCGGTCCTGGTCCTGGTCGATCCAATGAAAATGGAAGATCCCACCATAAACGACACGTACGTGCAGGAGTTCGATCTGCACCACTTGGAAGTGGGCGGAGCAGCCGGAAACGGAGCTCCCAGCACCAACGGCGGACCATCGGTGGCCCCCATTGGTCACGTGAAGCGCGAGGATCACAGTCCGCCGCAACCGGTGGCGGTCAAGTGGGACAACGAATACAGAGGAGGGGCCGGAAGCGTTGCCCCTTTCTGGGCCCGAGCCCGCCGGAGCCGTAGAAGTTTCGCCGGCGCCTCACATCAAGCTCCGCTCCTTCTCAGGTCACCATCAGTGGCACATGGACGAGCGACGGCTGCAGCCGCTCTCTCCGCCTCCAGAGCAGTACGGTCCGCTGCCCGGACAGGCCATTCTGGTCAACACATCCTCCGGAGCAGCAGGAGCACCAGGTGTACCCGGCGGGGTGCCCTCCACGCCGCCAGAGACGCCGCCTGTCGTGGGATCGCCCACAGGCAGTAGCAGTTGCCCGGCCCAGACCTATGCCCACCACTATGCCCGGACGCCGGGTGGCACTGCATCCGCTGCCGTTGCCGCCTCTGCTGCGGCAGCCGCTTCCGGAGCGGCGGCTGTGAGCGCCGGACTGAGCCACGACATGATGTGGCTGACGAATTCCATTCGGGCGGAGCAGCAGCCACTGGATCTTCGTCCTCTGGCCTATCCCGGGTCACAGGAGGAAGCGGAGGAGTGGGATCGCCAGCGGGACTATGCTCTACAGGCGGCAGCGGCCCATCATCACCACCACGGGCAGCCGCTGATGCAGGCACAGCACCATCCGCACGGTCACGGCGGTCACCCACATCCGCACCTGCAGCAGGCCAAGTACCCGCACCACCACCACCACCACTTCCACAACCTGGACCTGACACCCATCAACATGCACTCCCACGCGAATTCCTATGGGGGTGGGCTCGGATCGGGATCGGTGACGCCCACTTGCTTGCCCCAGGTTCCGAGCAATGGCAGCGGCAGCAGCAGCGTTGGCGGTGGCGGAGGAGGAGGCAGCGGTGGTCCGGGCAGCGTCGGCGGCGGATCTTGCGTGATCACCCGGGCAGCACTCCAGCCCTGCCGCCCACTCTCTGCCAGCTCCACGAGATCCTCGAACAATATGTCGCCCCGAACGTGCTCCGGGGCCTACAGCACTGCCACTCTGGAGGACTGCATCAACGACGACATGTTGACCACGCTGACGGTGCGGGAACTGAACAAGCGGCTCCACGGCTGTCCCGGGAGGAGGTGGTGCGTCTGAAGCAGAAGCGGCGCACCTTGAAGAACCGCGGCTACGCCCAAAACTGCCGCTCCAAGCGACTACACCAGCGCCATGAACTGGAGAAGGCCAACAGGCAGCTTAACCAGGATCTGCATCGCCTTAAGCTGGAGTACTCGCGGGTGTGCCAGGAGCGGGACGCTCTCATGCAGCGGTTGCAGCGCGTAGGTGGAACGGAGGAGGGGGCGCAGGTGCCGGAGATAGCCAAAACTCGCCGGAGTTCTACCTCTGACGCCAGCTGGCGGCGGCCAGTGGCACCGGCTCCTCCACATCCGCATCCGTGTCTACATCGCAGCACCACCAGCTCCATATCCAGCATCGGGGTCCACAGTGGAATCCCCAGCAGTTGGTCAACTAAGCGAAAAGCATTCCGGGTGTAAGGTATTTTCCCCAAAGAGGTTATTTCTAGGATTCCATTGAGGTTCTAGTGGTTCATCAGACTATAAATAATTTGTAAAGGAAATTGTCGGAAAGAGAATACTTTGAAAATCATTTGCTGAAAGGTTTTAGTTTCCCAAAGTAAAGTTATCTGAAACAATTAAAAAACATCAATTTAGTTATATTTCGGAAATGAACTATTATTATTTAAAAGTTAGTCTTACGTTCAGTAATGTTTTACATTTTTCCTCGCAAGGAGTAAAGTTTACTTTTCGAGAGTCCATTTTTGCATTCCCATTACCACCACTGTCGATATTTATTAAATCAATTTAGGTATATTAAGAAACTGCTTGAATTTTAAATTCATCCAACAAAGTTCATCTTAAAATGACATGCAATTGCATTTCTCGCATTTGTTTTTCACTTACTAATAGTTTTCAGGGAATTATTTACAGGATTATTCGGGAATTTTGAAATTCTGTTTAATTTTAATTGTGACAATAAATTTCAATTGAATTTGCGTTTGTGCACTTTGAAAGTGATCGACAGAGATTGATGATATAGTGGGACGGAACTATTGCTGATTATCAGTCTGACTAAGGCAAAAATCGATTATAAATAAATTTAATTCGAACGTCTATGTATAAAGAACAAACATTGTATAAGCAAAGAAACAAAAACAAGAACAAATCAAGAGAATCAAACTTGCAGCTTCTGATTAACGATCGCTACATTATTACAAATTACGAGTTAGTAACACACGCTTATTTGTTGATTAGTTCTAGACTTAGTTTCTCTTCTAGTTTTAAGCGAGAATGGATGAGCGTAAAATAATAATATCATAGAAGCAATAGTTGTACGCAAAGTTGTTCTTAGAGGCCGTGTTTCCGTTTCCGTTTCCGTTCAAGCCCCACTCCACTCCTCAGTAAGCAATAAAATTACTAAAACTAAAGGTTGTATTATGTTTAAATACTGCAGAAACAAATGAGCAAAAGATGTTGTATGTATAAAGTGAAGCTGATCTGAATCGAAGAGCAAACTCTACTGAAGTAAACTAAACAAACAAGTCCTATACAATGTAATAAGCACTAAAAGGAACGAAAATGTCATATGTAAATACACCCAACCAAATATATGAAAAGCTACAAGCCGATTCTGTATACTTTAAGGCACTTAATTGCAAAAGGATTTAAATCTCGTTTTGTAAAATCAAAAGGACGAATCCGGATAAGGGGAGACAACAAATTTAAGATAATTAATTACTAATTACAATTGTGAGTAGTTGATAAGTGTGCATAAAACAATTTAGTAATAAATAAATCTAAAATTAAAGTAAAATGCTGGATTTCTATTTATTTAAGAAAATTATTTACAAATCTGTTACAGAAAATGAAGCAAATTGAGTTAAGCTAGATATTCAAAGGTGGGTTAAATCGATTCTAAGCATTCATATAAAGGCGTCCATGAATAGTTTATCAAGCTTTTTAAATGTTTTATGATCTTAGTTACTTTCAGATGATTCGAAACCTTTATATAATAAATAAATATATATATATATATTTTTTTATATTGAATGACCTGTATAAGAATCCCATACTTCCTTGAAGACTATACCCAGATGTAAGCTCAGACATAAAAAGGGATCTGGCAAACCCATAAATTGAACATATTCTTGATTATGATTCGCCTTCATTAAAACTATATTTATTAAAAAATTTATTTGACAATTTTGTCGTAAAAAAAAAAAATTAAAATTGTCCATTTTTGAAAATTTTAACCCTACATAAAATTTCGAAATATTTGAACAGTTTTTTTTCTGCTGGATATTTTTAGATCGACTCGGCTGATCAAGAATGTATATGGTTTATAGGGCTGGAAATGACTGCTTCGCAATTTTTTTGACTAAAATTTAAAGAATTTTAATTTTAATTTTAATAATATGAATTTAATAATTCAGGCTAGTTAAATCGTATTTTTAGTACTTTCCTTATATTCCTATAAATATCAATTGAATTTTTTCGATAATCAACGTGGCAGCTATGTATGTTACATATAATCTGAATAACGTATAAATGGATCAAGAACATACATATATGTTTTTATATCATCTGCACATATGAGCTTGAGATCCCTTAAAACTTTAAAGTTTTTTAGAGATCTTCAAGTAACTTAAGAGCTCTACCAATATTTTAAAATGATTCATAGTCATCCATAAAGAATTGTTTACTTATTTAAGCTAAGAAAACTACCAAAAGTAAGTGTCCCCTTTCAGCAGATTTGGAACCAGGATCCGACACTCTCGATCAATTTCAAAGAAATGGCCATGGGTGTGTGGTCTGTCGGCATGGATAAATCGGCTTCCAACTGCAATGGACCACCGCCAGCAACAGTTTAGGAACCAAAATAAACACTGCAAAGCCTCTGAAGAGCTGAGGATCAGAATGTCAACAAACATTGGTCGCGTAATGGCGCATGCAGGAGCAGCAAGAGGGCGTTGGAGCCTCGGCATTGGGTTACAATCATCAACATGGAGGAGATCAACATCGGCGTCAGAGGCAGTCACCATCTGCCGGAGATCCAGGCGGCGTAATTCGGTAAAGTGTCGATTCAACTGGGATCCACATCCCCCTCTCAAACCAAGTCCCTCTTGCGGCTTGTAAATGTTCATTAACAAAAACTCAAGTCCTGAGAGTTTGTTTGTTTTGATTGCATTTCTGATTTGATTTGGCGGCGGCTGCGGCGGTCTTTTCTGATTCTGGTCTTGAATTTATTATTTTTATTTTGATTATATATGAATTTCCTGCCCTACCAAGAACTCAAACCCCTTCCACCCACTCTTTTGGGGTTTATGTAACGAGACGAAGCCACTCGATCGACCGACGGATTGCGCAAGAAGTTTTGTTGAATTCGAACTTTATTTTCCTTGCCCAAGCCAACAATGACGATCGCCCATCAAGTGGCCATTTTTATTTGATTTTCTTTCAGTTTTTTATTTATTTATTTTCTAGCTTCATTCTCGGACAGCAGGAAGTGTCAAATATCGACTGATTTCGGCATATGCCAACCGAAAACGATGGAAAAAGAAAACTATAGACGAAATTTGAGACTACCAAAGGAAATCGGTTTAATGTAACATTTAAGTTCTTTTACAATAAGAATTAATATAGTGTGGAATATGATCAATTTGATTAATTTATAACATGTCTTCACTGGAAGTATGTTCTGTATCTGCACAGAAATTTCTTCTTCAATTGTAATTCCTTGAATATTTTAGTTAAAATGTAACAATCCAGACAAATTCTGCCTCTTGGCTGATATCAAGATAGCAAGACTATGTCTGAATCATATTTTCTATCCGATGAAATCTCTAACATTTCGGAGCTTTCCTTCAAGTGCAGATTAAACAATAATTATGAAATTCTGATGCAAATCACTGGCGACCGAAAGTCTCCTTCCTTTTGACCCTCCGCCTTAACCATTATTGGTTCGAGAGTTTTCTAAGCCTCAGGCCAGACACAAGCGAAACACACTGGCAGCTTGAGTGGATGTCAAGTGTGGATGAGCCGGGCAGGAGAGATTCCAAAGGGGAACTGCTGAGTGCCCGGCATTTTGTCAAATGAAATTTATAGACACGGCAATGACAATCGGTAAATTGTCATGGCCATTGGGGCTGGAGTTCATCTCGGCATAATCAGTGCTTAGGGGCAGTACCCGTGCCGGTGGACAACCGTACCCAAAGCGAAGTCATCTCGGACAACTGGGATGATTGTCAACATTATTATGGTCACACACACATACACACACACACACACACACCTTTTTATTATGCTGCGCATTTGGTCGGGGCACTCTTTTATGCCTGCACTGCGACGTGTGACGGCTTCGATGAGGAATGCACTGCAAGAAAAAAGTATTTAATTGTGAGTGGTAGGCCTACCACAAGAAAACTCTCTTAAAAAAAGTAATATTTTTGAATAAAATAATAATAATGAATAATCTTCATATTAAATTAAAATAGTTTATATACCATGGCCTTTCTGTTATTTTGTTTAATCCTAGAGTGAATGGTTCCGGGTGATTTAAATTTAATAAAGTTAGTATAATATAGATCTTAAAATTAATCAAAGGAATAATAATACAAATAAATAATATATAATAATATAAAATAACTTATCAACTGATCTTGAAAAGCTTCTACATATTAAGTTCTAATGATAAACATTGAAGGAAAGGTTCCTGTTGCTACAGATTCTGATTTAATTTTAGATTTATTATAGTGAAAAAAATA